ATTTAATTTAGTTTCAATCAGGGTATTTTAACTTAAATAATTTTATTTCAAATATGAATTAATTTAATCTCGTCTAAGATATTTCAATTTAATAAAATTTAAAGCGTATCTTAATTTAATTTTAATTAAAGTATCTTAGTTTAATTAATTTAATTTTAAATGTGACTACATATATCTTAATTTAATTTCAATTAAGGTGTCATAATTTAATTTAATTTCAAGTGTGATCAAGCATGATTAGATAAGCTACAAGTACAATCATGATATTTTAATTTAATTTTAAATCTACCTAACTATATAACTATAACTTAATCAATTAAAATTTAACTTAATTTTAATTAAAGTATGTTAATTTAAATTATTTTTTATTTCAAATGTGATTTGAAGTCTAATATTTCTATTCTAAATTGTCCATGTAAATACGAAAATAATACATATTTTTATTTAGCATAAAATTACCAATATTCTATATTTTTTACTCTTTCTATGTACTAGTTTTTCCCTCTTTCCATGGACACTATATAGTCCAAGTATATATGGAATGAAAATATGATTTTCAAAGACAGTTAATGATAATATTTGCATATTTGATATTTTTTATTGCACTTAATGTCATCTAACCTTACAAATTTTACAATGACACTTTAACACTTTAATGCGGTTCTCAAGGATATATGAGTAAATATACACATTTTAAATTTAATTTTCAATTTTCAATACACAATATTTAATAAAGGTAGTATTAACATTGGACATTTTAAAACCACTCATGACCTGATCAAAACCACCTATGATCCGGTTCATTACGAGGCAAAAATCTATTAGTCATTTTTTAGAAAATATTATTTTTATTGAATAATTAATATATTATTACTATTAGTCATTTATATTCATTATTGTATTACTATTTTAGTTGCTTATTTAACAATAAAAATAAAAAATTGTTTAGATTGAAATACTAAGCAATTTAATAGAACCATATATCATGAACTTCACAATAATTTCTTTAGGTACGAAATAATAATTTTGATAAATTTCTTTACCCTTCATAATTTACCATATAGAGTCCTTTTTTATATCAAAATTTGTTGTACTCTATTATTTTTTTTGGATATATATTCAATTAATATATCTAATTTCTAAATAGATGTTATCCGATTTTTAATTTATAAAAAATAAAAATTATGAAATATAGGTTGTGAATAAGTTATATTAAATAGAGAAAAATAATAACCCCAATAATATATTAAAATATTATTGGAAATATTAATTGTTTTATTAATTAACAATAATTTTAAAGAGCTTCATTAAAAATGCTAAAGGAATAAATTTTATAGTAACTGTAAATATTACATGCGGAACACAATAAATAATACAGAACGCCACGTTAAAGCTATCGTCCAGCAAAAGCTAAATAACATAAATATTATATTAAGAAATAAAAAAAAAATATTGCGAAATATACTTTTGATATGATAAGTACAGTAAAGTACGGATACCGCTTTCAATGAAAGAGCATGGGTCTGTTTGACCTCTGTTGATTCTTCAAATGGGTTCCGCTTTTTGAAATGTGTCTTTGTCTCTTTTTCCGTTACATTAGTCAGAACGGTTCACACGCGTACGGTGTCCGATACCAGCTGTCCTTTTAACACCTCCGTGTTAATAATGAGGATTCATCTCTCACATCCTTTTCCTCTAGAATACTATACTAATTGACGTAAGAGCTTTCGCCAACATTCATGGATTTATTTATAAAAAATTATTATTATTATTATTATTATTATTATTATTGTTATTATTATTATTATTTCATGGGCAATTGACTTTGGACATTTCAAAATTAAAATAAAAAGCAGTCAGAATTTTAATTTTTATACCAAATTTGTAATTATTATACTTGATAGAAGTAAAAAATGAATGAATAGATTTTTTTTTTTTCCTCTTCCTTCTAATAGCGTGTATATAAAATAAACAAAGTAGCAGTTGAAATGCCAAACTATTAAGTACTGAATGAATATTTCATAAATATTTTGTTCGACCGAGCGTTATAAATTTTTTATTAATTTATTACGCTCGGTATAATTTTTTATATTATATTTTTTAATTTATTTGTTAGTCAATAATACGAAAAATCAATTATCTGTTTTTCTTTTTTTTAAAATAAAATATGAATTCATAAATTACTTAAATGATAGTGGAAAATATTAATAAGAAAAGACGAGCTAACACATTAGATAATATTTAATAATAAAAAATAGTAATTAAAAATTAAAATTGTTTAGCACTTAAAATAATATATTTATGTCTAGATATCATTTACACATTTAAATAAATTACAATTCGCTTAAAATAATAATTCAAAATTTTTAATTTAAAAATTTATAATAAATATAGTAAGTTATTGATATTCAATTAACTTTATAATTTAAAAAATATTAACACTTTTAATTTTTTTATAATTAACTCTTAAATATCAATTTATGAAACACAAGTGAATATGTTTAACAACTAAAAAATGAAGATAAATTTTAATCATCATCATGCTCATCATGATGATGAAAGGTACTTTTGTTAACTAAAACACCATGCATTGACCAAAAGAAAAATATTAAAGTTTTAAACTCATGACAAAGTCAAATTTGATATCAAGATTTTTCTGATATAAAAATCAAGAACATACTAAAATATTTCAGAAGTTCAGACTTATCCAATTCTTATAATTAATAAGGTCAAATGATATGATAGTCAAACAGAATTGTTCACATTTGTTTCTTGTTCAGACCAAAAAGCTATAGGGGGGCCCCTCTTTCATTCTTTTTAACTCAATTGATAAAAGATTTCACATCATATGGAGGTCAACCTAATTTTAATTTTTTTTTTATTAGATTATGATAATAGATCTGTAACGCCCCATTTTTCTATGTTTCAATAGTAGTTTACCGGTCTGTAAATAGTACCACCGGTCTGGAAATCGGTATTATTTTTGGTGTATGATGATTATAGATTCCTTGAAAAGAATGTGTTTAGAATATTATGCGTACGTTGATGGATATTTAAAAGTGCTTGTGGTACTTTGCTATGTTGTGGTTTGGAATTGAGTTGGGTTTGGAGAAAATTGAAGTGTGTATATTTTCTTTGTGGTAAAGGTAAGTTTTAGGGGGAAACTCTTGCGAAAATTTTTGTAGGGAATTTTCTTTAAACTATTTTTGTTAAAAAAAAAAAAAACCAACAAATATTTTACTTGCCTCAAAAAAAAAAAAACAACAAAATATTAATTACTTGCCTCCTTATGAAAATTTAACCACTTCCAATTTGTGATCTAGCTTTAATAAGTGACATAAGACGGTGTTCTGGTACTGATTGTGGCATCCGCTGTCTGATTTTCCAGGATTGGCCGGTGGGTGTTACAGGATCCCTCACAAGTTCACAACCATAAAAAAAAAAAAAAAATTGTAACATTACTTTCATTCTAAAATTTAGACACCGTTTGTTTCGGGAAAATAATTTAACTATTTGAATATATTTAAATATAAAGATCAATGTTATGGTAGATTTTAAATATTTAAGGATTTTTAAAATAAATATTACTTTGCAAAAGATAAAAAGTGGTTCGAATATTTGCAATTCCTATATAATAATAAAAATGTGTGTTTTTTTTTTTAGAAAATAAATAAAAGGTTTTTTCCCTTAAAAAAATGTTTTTTAAGGACTGTGATTAGCACGTTATATTCCTAGTACTTTCAGTACAGCAAAGAAACTTCCATAGGCCATAGCAGTTGGGAGTTGCAGTTGTGGGTCCACTCGTTTTTTTTAATGCTAAAACCACGTATCTGTCTGTTTTGGGCTTTTTACCGTTACCGTCCAAAAGCCAACGTGTCTCTTTCACCATCATAAACGAAATGATAATATATCCCCCTCAATTTGGTTGAATATACATTTATACCCTGCTTGGTTGTTGATAAATGAAATTAACTTGCTATTAACATGTTATAAACATGATACAAAAATATACGCATTATTATGTTTAAGCAATTTCTGAAATCACTTTTTGGTTAGTATATGTGTATTCACACTCATCATGGATGATAAGTAAAATTCTTTTAACGGTGATGACTCTAAGTTTTTAACTTGTTCATTTTATAAGTATAATTTTATTTGAAGATATAATCTAATTCCCTAACCAATCTCTTATTGATAATTTTTTAAAAATCAATTTATATTTATTTGATAATAAATGTATATAGTTTAAGGTCGAGTCGAGTATTTAATTAATCTATCTCATAGAATATAAATAACAGAAAAATCTAATCCAATTATACAATAGATATTATTCAACTTATTTATTGATTTGTTAAAAGAAGAGTTTTCAAATATTAATTAAATGTAATTAATTGGTCTTTTCACTTATATGAGAATTGAAAATTTTTGAGTTTAAGTTCTTTTCATTATAAGAATTTTTACTATTTTGGTGAGTTAAAAGAAGGATTATCCCTGTTATATAGTCGATACTATTATTTTGATATTGTGAATCCCAATGACTAAAAAAATGAGCTTTTAAAAATATATAAAACTTTAAAAAAGGTTAAGAGGTTGTTTTAACTAATTCAATATTGTGTATGTCATAAAAAATTTTGTACAAATACATTTAAAAATGGAAAATTACGGTACTAGACTGCTAGTTTATACCACATAAATAAACAAGATATTTTTTTTAATTAAAAAAAAGAAATGAAAGAAGGGTGAAATTGAATTTGGTTAAACATTAAGGGTGTTTTAGTAATTTAATTTCCCTCCACGATGACATAAGATGCCAGGTCACTACTGTCAACCGCTGCTTTGTTACCCAAACAAGCATCAGTAAACCCCACAACCACAACAGAAATATCCTCACGTGCGCTTTATAACACTCCCTTCATTCAAATCCGTGTACAAAATGCGTCACCAGCTGGCCTCACACGTCAGCTTAATTCTCTACTCGTATATAACCCAGCCACCATGACCAGGTTAAGACCATCGCCGCCTCGCTCCATCATCAGAAATCAGATACCAAAAACATAAAAAAAAAAATTCTCTCTCTCTCTCTCTCTCTCTTTCTCTCTCTCTCTCACTCTCTCTTCAACCAAAGCATGCACAAGTCATCGAAACGACTCAAACACACCGGACCTCCGCCGACTGAATATTTACCTCCGGCAATGCTTTTGCCGCGGCTTACTCAAGATCAAGAACTCTTCATCATGGTTTCCGCTCTGAAAAATGTCGTCTCCGGCACCACCAGTAGCACCTCGGTGGCTACAGATTTGTTTCATCAATTCGCCGCCGCTGCCAGTAGTTCCTCCCCTGCTACTGCTGTTGCTTCTACAGCTGTTACTACCACCACGGATAGTTTATATAATCCAATACCGCCACCGTCGGATCTTGACACGTGTAACATATGCAAAATCAAAGGATGTTTAGGATGCAATTTTTTCCCGCCAAATCAAGAGGAAAAGAAAGGAACGAGAAAAAGAGTGAAGAAAAATTACAGGGGCGTGAGGCAGAGGCCATGGGGCAAGTGGGCAGCGGAGATAAGAGATCCACGACGGGCGACAAGGGTCTGGCTAGGGACTTTTAACACGGCGGAGGAGGCTGCTAGAGCTTATGATAAGGCGGCGATAGATTTTCGAGGTCCACGAGCAAAGCTTAATTTCCCATTTCCGGATAATACTGCTAGTAATTTAGAAGGGCAGAGTACTCCTCAAGAACAACAACAGAAAGAAAATGGGAAAAGAAAGGAATTAGAAGTGGAAATGCAAGTTGGAAAAGAATATGAATTCTGGGAAAAAATTGGAGAAGATGAAATTCAACAATGGATGAACATGATGGATTTTAATGGAGATTCGTCAGATTCTACTGGTACTGCTGCTACTACTACTATTGCGAATTAGTTTTAATTGTAAAGTTTATTTTTATTTTTTTAGAAATTTTTATGATTCTTTCGCTCTTTTTCCAACGGAGAATCATCAGTTAGTGGTTTAAGGATGTCAATTTCTATTCACAAATTGTATAGTAATTGTTCATTCTTATAGATAAGATATGTATAATTACTAATTTGTTCCTACTAGAATTTCTTGTTTATAAAATTTAAGAAATAATATTTAATTTACCCTTTAAACTTATTTGATCGATTTACAATGTATTTAAAATTATTATCGTTTTTAACATAAATTTCAATAAAAAGAGGATTGTAGTTTTTTTTTTTTTTTTTTTTTAAAGAGGATTGTAGTTTTTTTTTTTTTTTTTCTACTGATTCAAAAGCGTATTTTTTTTTTTTTTTTTTTTTCTTACTGATCAAAGCGTATAAGAGACAAACAAACAAACGAAATTGAGTGCTGTAATTTTTTCTAAGTTTAAATAGGTTATCCATTTTCATTTGCTAATTCATCGAGTTTAATCGAAGTATAAATTAATTAGCCGTTTGATTGAAAATTCTATTAAAATTGATTTTAAAAACTTAAATTTGAATAAGTTCTACAATTATAATCAAATTCAACAGAAGTTCTATTCTAAAATTCAATAACAAACACCAATTGGAAAGCCTATTACCAGTTGCCACTGGAGCAGCAACAATTGCTGTTTGGTTAGTAAGAAAATTTAAACTGGAAAAGCTAAAGTGGGACGGACCTACGCGGACCACATCATCAGGAGTTGACAGGAAAATCTAACCTCACCTGATCAAAGAGCCACTTCAATAGGATGCGTGTGTTGTAAGAGCGCGTCTACCAGCATTCATGTCACCTATTATTATAATATAAGTTAATATAACTAATAGTGTTTTGCCACCATATAACATATTTAACACGTGCCTTATTTAGAATGGATAAATCCTTTTGTGTCACGTTTAAGATGTGTACGACATCATCACTGAGATATAGATGTAGAATGGAATAAAAATATGGCAAATTTAAGACTAATTTAAAATTCATATGAGCATAACAAAAGGAAGCAAATAGCTGAGCAAAATAGCTATGAAAATCAAATCATCTTGTTTGGAACAAAAGGAAAAATAATAAAAAAATGAAAAATTTATTTATTTTTTTGCTTATGCCATGTGGATAGAATCTTTTCATTTGGGAGAAAAAATTACGGTGGAATATTGAAATTTCTCTAATTTTTACACAATTATTCAAATATTCAAACTACTTTTAACTAACTATTGAAATTATATAATCATTAAAATCCTCTAAAATGATAAGTATGGTTCAAATGATAAGATATTAATATTAATAATTTTTTCTCTAAAATTTTTGGCTTTTCCAAACAAAGAAAAATAAATTTATTTTCTTTCCTTAATTACTTTCCTTCGTTGTCCAAACACAATAATGAAAAATAATAATGGAAAGAAAATTAATAATTCATTATTATTTTTCTTCTTTATTTTCATTCTTCTTCTTTCCAAACAAATGTAAAAGACAATGTACGTGAATATGGCCTCAATATACGCGTATATAGCCTCAATATACAAATTTGCCTCTATATTTTTCACAAAAAAATTTATGGTATCTTCATCTTTACTTTAGTATATTGAATATTTTGATTTATAAAATAATACTTACTAAATACTTTATTTTGACTCATTAAACACTTTAATTTATGAAGTTAGATCGATTAAACATTTATCGAATAGTTAAATATGTAAAAATTATCATTGAAAAGTTGTGTTAACGACGTATGAAATCAATATTTCACGTTTGAAAGCGAAAAACCTTAAAAGTTATAGTTGTTAGTATAAGAATATGTGGGAAATTACAGAGAAGTCTATAGTGCCATAAAATTTGTTTTTTCAAAATTTAGAGATTAAATTATATATTCGACCAATTGAAAAAGAGAAAATTGTGAAGGAAATGACATTTGGAAAATCAAAATTGATCAAAACAGGACTGATAAAGATTTAGGTTGCCTATAATAAATTTAAAATTGATGATTTATTTTTGCATCTTTCAAACGGTAACAAGAATAACTTTGAGAGAAATTGAACAACTGGTTTATTGATATTAGTTGAATATTTTTATATTTAAGAGAAAGAAGAGAAAGACAAAATAGGAAAGACAACTCAACAAAAACTAACTAAGAAGTAATTGGCTAACTAGCATGCTAATTATAACTTAATAATAAACTATAGTCTTTGAGTAACAATTGTCTCTTTAATTGTGTTTTTTTCTTCTTCACGAGATTTAACTAAATACTTTGACACCCCACAAGCTGGAGAATGGAGATCTAACATTCCCAGCACGAGCAAAAGATTATGAAATTGAGGAGGTGGAGGTGGCTTTATCAGACTATTAGCTAATTGATGAACTGTAGAAACAGGAAGAAGATGAAAAATGTCATCCTGTAATTTTTCCATATGAAGGTGATAATCAATCTCTGTATGCTTGGCACGCTCATGAAAAATGAGATTATTGGCAATGTGAATGGCAGACTGATTATCACAATATATACTAATTGGATTAGAGCGAGGTATCGAAAGGTCTCTAAGCAAGTAAAGATTCCATTGTACCTGACATGTCACAGCTCCCAATGCTCTATATTCTGCTTCAGAAGATGATTTAGAAATAGTTGCTTGCTTCTTGAATTTTCAGCTTATTAAAGAGTCTCCCAAACAAATAGTATATCTAATGATGACCTTTCTTGAAATAGCATATAACCACCCCAAACTGAATAACTAAAGGCTTTGAGATGCAAACTAGAATCTTTTGGAAACCAGAGACTCTTAATAGCAGTAGCTTTAATATATATATCATGGAACCCGATGATGAGCTTGCAAATGTATTGAAGCAATTGATTAACTGCAAAGCTCAAATCTGGCTTAGTTGTAGTTAAGTACAATAGTTGTCCAATAAGTTTCCTATAACTGAAAAAATCTGACAAAGTAGAAGCAGAATCAATATGTAACTTGCATTGAATATCCATTAGTGTGGATACTGGTTTAGCTCCAATATAACTAGTAGTAGAGAGAAGCTCAAATGCATATTTTCTCTGATATAGAGAAATACCAGTAGATAACCAAAATTGAGAAGTCCCTGAGACAACTTTGAGTACCACTGTTGCTTGCTTGTCGAAGCCCATTCAAAGATTTGTTCAATCACAGACTTGATTAGGCTTTAGAGGATGCAAGACTAGAAGGCAATTCTATATAGACTTCTTCAATGAGATCTCCATGAAGAAAGACATTATTTACATCTAATTGATATAAATGCCAATCATGAATAGCAGCAAGAGATAAAAGCAACCTAAGAAAATCAAAGTTTATCCAAGTCTGAAAGGACCACTAAGGTCAAATGATGTGTGAATCAAAGACAGGATCTGCTACCTGTGTTTCTACTAAAGCAAGGAGGGTCCATTGTTCCTTCTTTTTTCAATAAAATAACTTGAGAAGGAATTGGCATAAGATGACACTGCATTCAAGATTTAATTTGTTTATTAGATTATTAGATGATAGACTTGTCACGAGTTCACAACTATCAATATTAAAAAAAGCCCACCAAACATAATATTTTAGTCATATACTAAAATATATAACATTTTTAAATTTAAATTTTTTATTAAAAGAGAAAGATTCCTGTCATCCCATTGATATATGACTTGTCACAGGTTCACAACTATCAATATTAAAAAAAAGGCCCACCAAAACGATAATATTTAGTCATATACTAAAATATATAAACATTTTTTAAATTTAAATTTTTTTATTAAAAGAGAAAGATCCTGCAATCCCATTGATATATGACATATAGAACTATACTATATATATAATATATATTGAATATAATTAATATTAACACCAAGATAGATCTAAATGGAAGTATATATACCGACTGACAATAGTTTGGTTGAATCCCTCTACCCTGATACTCAAAATATAATGAATAATTAATATAATTGAATAATGAATAATAAATAATTGATATTAATATAATTAATATTATACACCAAGATATGATCTAATGGTAAGTATATATACGACTTGACAATAGTTTTGGTTTGAATCCCTCCTTACCCTATACTCAAAATATAATGAATAATTAATATAATTGAATAATAATAATAAATAATGATAATATATATCTAATAAATATTATTTTATATTTAATTTTAAGTAACGTTATTACGAGAGGACAGAGTTATTAATGATAAAGACAATCAAAAAATTTTTTTTTGTTGATAAAATTATGTAATCGAACTAAAACAGTGAATATCAAATTAATCGGTTTAAATTTGAATTAAATCAATAAAAATGAAATAAATTGAATCTTCCATAAAAAAAAATTAAATAGAACTAAAATAGTGAATGTGGGATTAAATCGATTTGGTTGGGTCTAATTTGATTAGTTTTTTATTTTAATTTAACTTTTAGATTAAATTCATTATTTTAAGATCTTTAAAAATCAAGCAAATACTTCATTTTTGTCCATAATAAACTAAACTGAAAAACCAAACCGAATACTTTCAAAATGGAAAAAAAAAAAATCAATCGGTTTGACCTATTTTTGTCTACACCGACACATCAGATCTGCCAACCGCTGTATTGTCACCCCAACACCAGCATAGCTAGCCCCACAATATCCCCACGTGTGCTTTAAAATTAAATTTCCCCAAATTATCCTTCAGGTTCAAACCCGTGTACAAAATGTGTCACCATACGCCAGCTGGCTTTCCGTTCTATATATATTAGCCCCCGGAGGCAGAGACAGTCTAAAAACAAAAAGCATACACAAAACAACTCATCAAAACGACCAAATTTCACCGGGCTTACGGCGAAGGGAATTACACCTCCGGTAATGTCATTGCCACAACTTACCCAAGATCAAGAACTCTCCATCATGGTCTCTGCTCTGAAAAATGTTGTCTCCGGCGACGCCACCAGTAGCACAACGGTGGCTTCAGATTTCTCACAGGTTCGTCAATTCCCCTCCAATGGTTATGGTTATAGTTCTAGTTACTCCTCTGCCGCTGTTACTGGTGCAGTTGCTACCACCACCACTAGTTTTTATAACGCATCAGATCTTGACACGTGTAGCATATGCAAAATCAACGGATGTTTAGGATGCAACTTCTTCCCGCCAAATCAAGAGGAAAAAAAGGGGAGAAGAAAAAGAATAAAGAAAAATTACAGAGGAGTAAGGCAGAGGCCGTGGGGAAAATGGGCGGCGGAGATAAGAGACCCACGGCGAGCGACAAGGGTGTGGCTAGGGACTTTTAACACGGCGGTGTAGGCTGCTAGAGCCTATGATAAGGCCGCGATAGATTTTCGAGGGCCGAGAGCGAAGCTGAATTTTCCATTTCCAGATAATACAGACAGTAATGGTTCAAAATTAGGAGAGCAAATTATTCCTCAAGAACAAGAACAGAAAGAAAATAGGAAAGGAAAGGAATTTGAAGTGGAAATGGAAAATCGAAACGATTTTGAATTCTGGGAAGGAGTTGGTAAAGATGAAATTGAACAATGGATGATGAATTTTAATAGGGATTCATCAGATTCTTCTGCTACTATTATTTTGTAATTTTCTTTTCATATTTATGGTTCTCTCATTCTTTTTTCAAGAAAGAATCATTAAGTAAGGGTTTTAGGATTTACTTGTACAATTGTTAAACTTTTTTTTTTTTCTTAAAAAAAAAAAGAAAATTCTTCTAACCCAGTTTTCTTCGTTTGAAAAGCTAAATAATAAAAATTAACTTGGAAATTCCCACTGCATCAGCAACATGTTAGTCGGAAAATTTAAACCTGAAAATATAGTAGGACCCATGGGGCCACGTCAGCAGAAATGACATGTAAATCTCACCTCACCTGATGAAAGAGGCTGGTTAGCTGGGATTTGGATTACAACTACTAATAGTGATTCGGCAATAAAAAAGGAATTAACATCGTATTGTTTCATAGTCATGTTTAACACGTGCATTAAATCATCATTAGTATGGACATGGAATAAAGAAATGGCAACTTTTTAGATTAATAAAATCTAAAACGTGCAATTATAATCACGTGCGTGAATATGAACTTAAAAAATCCCAAGATCTGATAAAGGGTTAATATTAGATTAGGAGAATTTTATTTTTAGAATTTTGAAACACAATAAACAAATATGAATTTTTTTTACAACTAATTAAGTGTGAAAATAGGGTTTATCATCTTTTTGAACCTTCAATCTAATTTATTGTTTTATTGTAATTTAATTATATCTTTTTAGTACTATTTAATTTAAATAAATATATTATTTATTCCTTATTAAATTTAAAATTTTATATCTTAAAATATATCACAACCGATTGTATTTACATCTATAGTCAAAAAAATTTAAAATTACCTAATTCCATATCGAATTTCCATGGAATAGTATCGAATAGAATTTTAAATTCAAAAGAAATTTGGTATTGAATGCAATGAAATTTCAAATTTCAAAATATTTTGCAATCTGGATCATTTCATTTTATACTGACCGAATTACACCCCTAATTATTAAAACAACTAAAAACTATTAAATCAATTAACATTACCAAATAGAGCCTAAAACTTTAAAAATTTCATCAAAACATTTTTATGTTGGAATTCATAATAGGGTGGGAGATACATATCATAAAAGGAGGAGAATATCTCTATTGTTAAGCTCATTAAATTTGGACATTAAAAAAAAAAAATACGCTTTCATTATTATGGAAAGAAAAATAGTCTACCATCTCTAATGTCCCTCTAATCTTGAGAAACACTTTTTTCGAACAGTTAGGTGTTTTCTGTGCCTATTGATCATGGATGGTACTTGGGTTTGCCTTCTTTGACAGGCAAAAGTAAGAAGGTAGTTTTTGGTTTTATTAAGGATAAGTTATTGCAGAGGCTGTAGGGTTGGAAGAGTAAATTCTTATCTTGTACTAGGAAGGAGATTCTTATTAAATTAGTAGCTCAAGGTATCCCCTCCTTTTGCATGAGTTTTTTCTTGATTCCGATGAGTACGTGTGTTGAGTTGGAAAGAATGTTGAATTCCTTCTGGTGGGGGTATGAAAAAGGATGAACGACATAGTATTCATTGACTATCATGGGAGAGGATGTGTTTCAGTAAGGAGAACAGGGGAATGGGTTTTCTCCATTTTCATAGCTTTAATTTGGCGCTCCAGAGAAAGCAAGGTTGCGTATTAAGACCGATCATAATATTCTTTTATCACAAGTACTCAAAGCAAAATATTTTCCAGAGGGAAATTTCACAGAGGCCGTTCTTGGACGTAATTTGAGTTATACATGGAGGAGTCTTTTGTCTTCGTAGGATGTGTTAATGCAGGGTGTGAGATGGCGTAATGGTGTGCATGTGAATATATGGTCCCAACCATGGATTCGTAGGGATTCTAATTTTTATATATAGTCTCCTGTGTTGCAAGGCTTTTAAGAGCTCTCAATAGCTGACCTTATTGATCATGATCGCTGTAGTTGGAATGTAGACCTGGTTCAGGGTTTGTTCTTATTGGATGATGTCCTATTAAGAAATATGGGGGGATAAGTTTATATGGTATTGGACGAAATCTGGATGCTATACTGTAAAGTCAGTATATAAGTTGCTTTTTGCTTAGACTCCCAGGTCATGCCTTTGGTTTGCCCTATGTGGAAGGAAATCTGGAAGTTGAGCTTACCTTCAAACGTAAAAGCTTTCTTGTGGAGATTGGGGAGGAATGTCTTTCCAACAAAACTTCAGTTGGCTAGTAAAGGAGTGGAGTTGGATAGTCAGTGTGTTTTGTGTGACCAGCAGGAAGATGCGAAGCACGTTTTCCTTCATTGTCAGTATGCTCTAATGTGCTGGCAAGTTTTGGGAGTACAATTCCCGATTTCGCAGGCCATTGAATTTATGGCATGGTGTGAGTTTCTTTTGCTGAATGCAAGAAGAGATAAGCTAGAACATTGTTGCATGGTTGTGTGGTATATCTGGTTTTGTAGAAATCAGGTTATTTGGAATGAAGTTCCAACTCCTCTTGAGTTGGTTGTTCCTATTGCACTGCATCTTTTGCTTAATTAGAAAGAAGCCCAGAAGAAGCTCCAAGTTTCGACCCAGGTGCCCACTGCTTCTATAGTTGTATCTCGATGGGTGGCTCCTCCGTTAGGAATTATCAAATGTAATATTGATGCTGTAGTACGCCAAGACCGTAATTAGTTTGGTTTTGGCGCTGTTTTTCGTGATGGAGCTAGTAGGTTTGTTCTTGCTCTGACAGGTTTTATGTGTGGTAATGGCGAGGCGAGGCGAGGCGCTAGTTGTGTGAGAGGTCCTATCATGGATTAAGAAATGGGGCTTTGCTAATCTACAAGTTGAAACAGATGCTTAGATGCTTGTGTAGGTTATTCATAATCCTATTAATAACTTTACTGAATTTGGGATGGTAATGATGGAATGTTGTGATTTATTGTCTAGCCTCACAAATGTGAATGTGAGTTGGGTAAGAAGACAAGCGAACGAAGTCGCTCATAGCTTGACTAGAGTAGCTTTTTTATATGCTAGTTTTCAGATTTGGTATGAGCTCCCTTAGATATTGAAGCTCTTGTTCTTGCAGATTTAGCAGTTCATGATGAATAAAATCTTTTTTCTATTTCAAAAAGAAAGAAAGAAAAAACAGTCTACTGAAATAATTTATAATTAATTAAACAATTAATCTTAAATATTAGACATTTATTTAATGAAAATAAAAATATGAAATTATTAAGTGTTAAATATTAGAAGTAACAAACTCCACCAAAGCAACACATGAAAAAAAATTAGGGATTTTAATTTTAGGTTGTACTCTTTAATTATGCAAGTAATTATTATTACAACTGATGAACTCAAAAAATATAATTATATTTTTATAGTATGTCTGGAGGGTATTTAGAATTAAGGAGAGAGAACCAGCGTTATATGCCAACTCCTTTCTTTTTTTCCTAGTCCTTTTTATATATTAATAGAGAGTAATTGGTTTGGGTTTAAGGTAAGATAGTGGAGAGATTTTCTCCACTGTATCTATTTGTTACCGATAAAGGAAAATTTTATGAGATTTTCTAGATTATTAGGAGATTATTTAGATAATTAAAAATAATTATATTGTCAGGTCGTATGTGCATTTACCATTCGACTAACTATTAGTGTGCTATCACTTATTGTAAAACGAGAAAAAATAAAACCAATAAACATGAGAGTGATGGCATTAGAAGCATTCACGTGGTAATGCGAGGCTGTACAATGCCCAAAAGGAAATAGCAATTGGTTTTGGTAGAAATGGTACATATGATCCTTCAAACTCCTTGATTAAACGTGGTTAAGGTGGGGTAGAGTAAGAAACTTTTTTTTTTTTTTGGAAAAAAAAATTATACTCGTATCCCTATATTTTGCCAAAATTAACTACTTTATCTTTATATTTTTTTAAAATATAATAATATATCCTCATGTTCTAAGTCCGTTATACGTAGTATCCGGTCTATCCATTTTTTGCACTTTCAAAAAATAAGTCAAAGAAAAAACCTGACAATTTAAAGAGAAAATCTTTTTTTTTTTATTAAAGTACCCTCTTCTTTCGCTCTTTCTCTTCCAGTAAATAAGTTCAAAACTTTCTCTCTATAGTTTATCTCTCTAAAAGAAGAAAAACAATAAGAAGAAAAAGAGATGATGATATTCAATTATAAGATTTGTAGAATATATTATTAATATTATCAATAATTAATATAGTAATAAAAATCCTTCTTCTTCCTTATTGTTATTATTGAAATAATAATAAGATTATGATTTTCAATTTAGAGAGAAAAATATGAATAAGTTTTTTTTTTCTCTAAGAGCTCCCATCATATTTTGTTTTCTTTGAAAAATTAATTTATAAAAGTTGAATATTTTGAAGAGAGAAAGAGAAATAGTTTGTTGTGGTTTTATTAGGTGATATTTTTTCTTAACAAATTTTAGTTTTATGGAAAGATCGTTGAAGTTTGGGTTAAAATGTTTTGAGGTTTGAGAATTTCTTGATGTCGGTTTTAATCGGTAATCAAAAAAGAAAATGGATGTAAAAATTGAGTTTCCCATAATATTCTAATCATTTTAGTAGTTAGATTGAAATATTTTGAGATAACCTAGTTTTTTGGCTACCGTCGGCGACATTCCGGCAAGCCACAAAATTGATTTTAAAAGAAAACGGATTTTATTTTTTAATTAGGGTCATTGAAGTCATTTCATAACAATTTAACGTTTAAAGGTGCAGAAAACGGATGAAAAGGGAACATTGTTTAATAAATTGAAAAAATGAGGGCATGAAAGTGCATTTTAAAAAATACGAGAATAAAGTAATTAATTTTAATAAATTCTTAAAAAAAAAAAAATTCACATTAAACACATTCGTATAAGATAGGAATAGGGTATACGCTTTATCAAACTTATGACAACTTTATATGTATATACTAACTTATATATCTCACACATAAATATGCTCTGCAAGGGATGTGAAATGATTATATGAAATATAAAATAAATTATTTTACTTTAAAAGTAAATAGCATTATAATATGAGAAAAATAATTCCAACGAATAATATATTTCCGTTAACTAAAACGCGGTTCCATTGATTTTCTCACATTACATATATATATAAAATCAGCTTGGTCCTTCCCACTATAATCCTGATCCATTGAGTATCTTATATATATCAAAA